ACTGACTTAACTCTGGGCTTTATGTGAAACCTTCTGCAGGCAGGTAGAGTTTATTTAGAAAAAAAGGGGGGGGGATGGAGGGAATGAGCATTCAAGGGAAAAGAAATAGTGTGTGCAGAGGCAGGAAGTTGGGAAAGTGGAGGGATCATGCCTGGGAAGTTCTGCAACGTGGTTCTGTTGTGAGTGTTGGAAGGATTCTGTAAGATCTACCCAATGGCCAAGCTGCACCCGACAATGTTCATCCCAGAAAAAATGTATCTGTAGATCCCCAAGTTCCATCCAGTCCACGAATCTCTAGATATGTCAAATATGATCGTTACCAATTCTTTCAATTTAATGAATAGTATACGTTTCTGGACTGACATTAGTTATTTGTTCTGGGTCCTCTTTTAAAAACCATGTATTACTTTTGATGGGAAAAGTTAAATAATATAAATTATATAAATAGTTATATAAGTATATATGAAATCCTACTTAGCTCAACACCCAATATTATAAACTTATTTCAGAAGATAAGTGGTTATTTTAGATATCTTATCATCAAGGAAATGGGCTAATAGTAACTTGATTCTTTTAACATTTCTAAGACTCTTCTGAGACATTGATAAAGTTGTCTTCCTTGGACATGATATATGTTTGAGAATATAAAGTGAGAAAAAGATCTTTGAAAATGATTTGAAGAACACTAGAACACTAGATAAATGCAAGGCATTTCAAATATAATTTGCTGTATTAGTTTTCAGTATTCTGTTCATTTATCACTCTCTAGTAGCTAGTCTTTCCAAATTAGGCACCGAATCCATTAACGATCACTGATGATATATTTTGAGATGCACTGTCATATTAAGATCCCGAAGGGATGAGAGGAATCGATCAATAATTCTTTGATTGTCCAATTCACGGCTCTGACATATCCGCCCTTCCCTTTTCACAAGAATAGAGCCCATGGTCCATCCTTGGAATCACTTCCTTTTCTATATTCTCCCCTCCCTTGTCCAGCCCGCCCCCTTCCCCCAATCACAGTCTCCTGAGCAAACTCCACCTGGTTGAAGCCAACTCTCTCCCGCTGTGCCTGTGCCCCCTAAACGCTGAGCATGGCTGCAGTTTTCCTCTAACCATTTTGAAACAAGTCTCACTTTAAGTTCATGACCACGAATCTCAGTGGGGCCCTCAGAGCCTCCTGGCAACCCTTCCCGAACAGGGAGCTTCTGCGGCCTCTTTCCCGCTGTCCCCCCTCCCCACCCACCACTGCCTTCCCCTCTCTTTTGCTTTGTCCCATCTCCTCAAATGTCTCAGGCTTAGTGCTTGGACCTCTTTGGTCTTCAGGCTGATTCCAGAGCTAGGTTTTTAGGTTTGTTTTCTGTTTTTGTTTTTTTCAATCCAGCTTCATGATTTTATAAACCATCTATATGCTAACCTTTTCAAAATAGTTATTTCCAGCTTGGACCAAACTTCATCCAGACTGAGATACTCAACTGCCTTCTTAATGTCTCCACTTAGACATTTAATAGATATTTCAACTTCAACATGTTCCACACTGAGCTTCTAGGTCACCTTCCCAAACCTGCTACTCACCAGGGGGCCCACCTATCTCAGTAAATAACAACAGCATTCCTCCAATTGCTTCATTCAGATTTGCTGGATTTGTTCTTGACACCTCTCATTTTCTCTGGCTGTGCTTCGAAAACACATTCTAACTCTCACCACCTTGTACCATGGCATCGTTGGTTAAAGCCACAGTTACTCCCTCCCCCACCTGGATTATGGCTGCTGTCTCCTAACTGCTCTCCTGTTTCCACCTTTATGACAGTCTTTTCTCCACACAACAGTCAGAGTAACTAACGCTTACAAAACCTAAATTAGATCATGACATCTCTCTACTCATAATCCTAATGGCTCCCTGTTTCATTCAGACTAACAGACTGTTTGAGCTCATCATTTCCCATGGATCTGGCCCCTTGGCTTCTTGGGAGCTTACTGCTATCATTCTCTTCCTCACTCTCTATAAAATGCCTCCATGTTGCTCTGCCAACATGCCAAGCACTTCCCCAGGGCCTTTGCACATGCTGTGACCTCTGCCTGGGATTCTCCTCCCCCAGACAACCCTAGGAACTGCTTCCTCACTTTCAGTTCTCTGCTCGAAGAAAACTCTGTGACCTCTTTATCTGAAATGACAACCTTGGACCCAAACACATGCATCTCCCAATTCCCTGAGCCTGTGTACTTGTTTTTCATAGAATCTATAGCACCTGAAAAGTAAATTTAAGAGGAAATCTTCCCCATGCTCTGATTGTAAATACCCGAGTGCAGACCATGTCTGTTTTGTTCACAGTTGTAACCACAGGGCTCAGAACATCACCCGGCATGTGTAAAACTCTCCAAAAATGTCAAATTATGAGTTAGTGAATCAATGATGAATCACCGCACCCTCCTTTGGGAGACGGAGGAAAGTTATGTTTAAATTCATTCCTCCATCATTCGAATTCCAGAAGAGTGTGGTTGTAGCCTATATATCAACGAGTTTAGAAAAACCACAGCCACATGATAAGATATCACGGAATTAGTGGTTATTTTAGCAGACAGTTGACCATAGGTCTTTATAGGTCAATTTAGGCAGGAAAAAACAGATTTCTGAAAATTCCTGTGGTTTTATATCATTTTTCAATGTCGAACTGCATTGTGGATGATATATATTTCTTCAGACGAGTTTTCACTATTGTTGTGTAAACAACCCCAACGGTGGTCTCACTAACACATTTATGTTGTGCTGCAGTATCGGCGACGTGTACACACTAGGGCCCCCTGGGGCCCGGGACAGCGCGAGTGAGGCCCAGTCCTGCGAAGCCCAATGCGGGGGGTCTCAACCTTGGTATTGTTGACATTTTGGACCAAACAATTCTTTGTTGTCCTGTGTAATATAAGATGTTCAGAAGCATCCCTGGCCTCTACCCCAAAGCTATGACAACCAAAATTCTCTTGGAGGACAAAGTCCCCATAAGACATATATGAGATCACGTAAGGCAGTTACGATAACACGGTCTTAGTAACTGGCTAGTTAAGAACAATGGGAGGTAAGGAGTTTTAGAAGAAGACGTGTTCCAAGTTGGTTTCTAGATCAGGAAGGACCCAAACCTCTTGGGAGGTGGAGAGGCTCTTTCTGAGATGGCTGGGGGAGACCTGGGCAGGTCGGGGTCGCAGGACAACACAAGCTTGGAGACAGAGAGTATGGAAGGAAGAGGATGTTAGGAAGAGGGGGAAACCCTCCGTTTGATGTCTTCTTTCTCACCGTTCCCCAATCGCCTCTGCTTACGTCATTGTATTACCTATGTCGACGTAAGATAAAGTGCTCTGAATGCCACCCAGGCAGACGCTGTTTTTGGCCTAATGAGGAAAGCTTATTCCAAGTCAGAGCTGGAGGAAATTCATTCTAGTCACTCAAAAAGAAAGGATTTGGGAAAATGACTTTAGATGGATGGCAGGCGAATGGATGAGAACTCCAAAGCTATGTCCCCTTCACCCGTTAACAGTCACTGTGCCTCCAGGGGCCTCCCCAGGGGGAAAGAGGCATTTGCCTGTCCTTACCTCACCCCAACCCTACCTCACAACCGGGGGCAGCCTCACCCCTCCAAACACAACATTCGGACAATGTGAGGATGTGTTTGGATCTTATTTGTGCTGTGATACCAAGAAACCAGATTCACCGAGGGAAGGTCAAAGTCCAGGTCAAGAGGCCTCCTGTTAACCCAGCGTGCTTGACATCACGTGAAAGAGACAGACTGTGCAGTCCCCTGCTGCCCTCCTCTGTCACCTCCCGGTTTCTCCGTGCAGATGTGCACATGGCAAGGAGGAAGGACGTCCCTGCTGGCCCGTGGCCGTCACGCATGCACACACCCCAGACTGCTCTGATGACCAATCGAGGCTGCTCTGCTCCCAAAGGAATGAGCTGCCTGGGTTTCAGATCCACGTGGAAACCCCTCAAAAGGACACTGCTCACGCTACGTAAAAGCTCAGCGCGAGGCACGCAGACGTGCTCTCCGTACTATCGGGTTTGCTTTTCCCAGTCTGACCAGTTTCCTCCTTTTCTCCATGTGCCACAGAAGACTGAGTCAGCACTGACTAACATCTGGAAAATGGTGTGACTGCGTTTGATGAGGAATAGGGATGCTGTGATGTTCATTTTCCCCAAGTGGGTCAAACTAATTTCAGATTTTGTTAACAAATATATTTATCTGTAGGAAGTGTCTCCTTAAAAAAAAAAAAAGAAAGAAAGAAAGAAAAACATAACATATGCCCAACAGTCAAAGGTGGAAAATAAGACACACCTGTCACATAGGGCATTGAAAGGAAAAGGTGAAATAAACACAGGAGTCTTTGGGTTTCCTGAAAAATCTTCATTCTGTGAATGACAGATGCTGGAAGGGCCATTCATGGCCACAGATGGGTACTGTCCACTTCCATTTGCAGAATGTAACGTCATTATTACATTCAGGTCATGATCAATGCTTAACCCAGATCCTCACTTGTATTTATCCCAATTCATTCCAAATAAGGTTTGGGAGTAGACATTCCAAGGGTTTTCATTTGTTACGATGTCAAACAGGCACCGTACACAGCGCCTGCCATTCTGTTCCCAGGAAAAGCATCCTTGAAACTACCTCCGAGGGGTTTTCATACTTTCAGTGCACACGGACAACGATGTCAATACTCTAACATTCGTGTTAAACAGAACCTGAGCTGTTCTAGTTCTTTTTCACACATGAATCTTTCAGAAATCAAATGTTGCAGCATCATGGATTTGCAGCAAATTTCTGAGAAGCCTCCCCGCCCCCACCTCTTACAGATGCCATTCTCAGGACCGTCGGATGCATCGATCAATACCAATCAACATGCCTCACCAATAAGCTGATGGGAACACTTCACAGATATTCCAGATTCATACAGTGCAATGTTTCACAACACATAACACCATGAACTCACTGTATGAATCCAACAACTCCTACCTCTCTTGTGGTTTGCAACTTGAACAGAAGAAACTGTTGACAAAGCTATTTTGGGAGCAACTGGACAGGTTTAAAAGAATGAACAGCATGTTAGAAACAATCGCTAAATGTTCAAACTGCAGTAACTCATCATAACCCACTTGAAAAGTAGTCCTAAATCCAGACTATTTGTATCTGCTCTTCCTGGGAGTTTGTTTCAATCACAAAGGAAGTCTTGTTTTATATTTGGCAGAAAATGGTTTAACATTGTCAGAAATGTAATTTAGAAGCTTTATTTTCAGGGGCAAGAATAATGACCACTTAAATCAAGAACCCAATTATGCAAAGATTATTTCAGTAACAATGTGGACACTGTGGGGTTCCCTATTGTCCCTCTCTGAAAACAGTAGTTTGTGCTGTTGAGTTAATTGGCTGTCTCGCTGCCTCCGTCCACCATGTCATTCTTTCTGTGTGACCACAAGCTCATCTGCATAGAAACTGGGTAGATGATTTTTGTTGACCTGATCAGACCTCACAGAACATCGTCACAATGGTCAACCACCCAGCAGCACCTGGACCTCAGTCTCTGAGTCACCTTGAACCTGTCTACCTTCCAAAAATGTGGTCTTCTTCTCAACATTTATTACCTTGGTGATGACATCGGTTCATTAGGGGTTTTTCTCTAAGTTTGCCTGCCACTTCCTTCCCTATTATTCATGAAGAGTCGCTTAGGAAAGTAGCCCAAACAGGATATTGCTGATGTTCCCTGCAGATGTTGACAAGATAAATTACAGCTGCACCGAACTGGCCCCCGGTGGAAAGTGCACCTTTAGCTAAAATTTCAAGTTCAAGCACTTTATTCAGCTGTGCTGCTTCCCAGATAAATTCATCTGAACTCGTTAGCTGCAGTCTAAGACGGTGGCGCTGGCATTAGCTAAAGACACTTCCGAAAGCCCTCAGTCCCGTGACACTCACAGCAAACAGCACAATTATTCAATGGGTCTGTTTCGGATTCTGAACACTGCCTAATTTTGTTCATCGCCACACACGCAGTGGAGAAGGGGCAAGTACTAGACCCCGCCTTAGCTCATCTGTGGCACCATGAAACTCAGGGGGAAACACCGCGTGGCATTTCCGTGGCATTTCCCTGGCCGCGGAAGGAGGGAAGCTGCTAGACACGCCCGGATCCTCAGATCGCCACTGACACAGGTGAGTTTGAGCTGTACCTCTTCCACATGTGCGTGCAGAAGCTTGGAAAAGTTCATTTGGAGCAGATGATTAGAATGATTCATTGACTAGTACTGTGTGTGCCTGGGACAGGCTCGAGTGCGTCGCTGTGACCAGGGCTGAGACGCAGCCCTCCCAAGCGGACTCGACAAGCTGCTCGCGTTTTGCTTCGCGTAGCGGCTCTTTCCTGGCTCCTCCTCTGGCCCATTCCCTCCGGCATCTGTGTCCATTAGAGCTCAAAAGGGACATCCCGCGTGGAATGAAGGCAGGGGAAGCCAAAACGTGCCTTTTGCCCTTTTGAAAAGGAGGAAGGCAAAAGAATACGATTTTCTATCAAAAATAAACTCCTGCTTATACGTGTCTATGTACGGCTCTGGGCTGGACGCTGTGTGACTCGAACATCACTGCATCTCACGGGTTTCATGGCCCAGTCCTTAAAAGTTCTGTTTCGTCCTGTGTCCGTCAGTCTCTTTCATGCATGTATTTATTTTTTATGTTAAAAGTCATAAAATAATGACTGCCCTAAGGGCAGACAGAACACAGGGGTTGCTCTTAATGCTAACAAAATGGTTGTGGATTCATAAAAGATGACGAGAGGGAAAGAAAGCCCCAACAGAGAAAATATACTGTGATTGATGGGGCGGGGTGGAGGGAGGGGGGAGGGGGAGAGTGAGATCCAATTTCTGTTAGTCGAGATGGAGAAACAGTTAAAAAAAAAATGGGTCTCCTTAGGAGTTGCAATATTGCCTTCACATTAATTTTTCCTGACCCTCAATGCAACTGACATAGCAGTTTCCTGAACGAAAGTAAATGGGAGACAGTGGAAGGATGCCCGAGCCACTCCCAGTCTTTGAGACTCATCGGTTCCCTACACTGTGAAAGCGACATCTCTGGGATTATCTTGGGACCGCCTGACGTTCCATGTAAAGTTAATAAAGTGCTTATAAATCCTATGCCATCTCGTTTCCCCTATATCTTTCCCTGGGGTATTCCTGGGACACTCTCCAGATTAGAAAAAACATATTCGAAATACGATTCTTTCCAAGACATGGCATTTATGATAATGCTTTTATTTAGTGCTAAAAAAAATTGTATATGGGGTTTCCCCCCTCAACATGTGGGCTTTTTATATCAGTAGGAATTTTATATGCTCCTACCTTGTTTTGGATTAGAAACCTCAAGGGAAGAAATATTCGGCCATATCCTATTAAACTTTGAAGGATCTGCATGCATCAGGAAAAATCAGGGTACGTTATTTTCAGCTCTCATGTCATTTGGTTGAAACAGAAAGTCATATGGACAAAGACACAAGCCACACACCTGCCCTTCAACTTGGCTGAGAGGCACTTCACAAAACACGACCCAGCACCAAACAGGAGCAAGCAGTCGATGACTCCCAAACATTGAATGGACATTAAATAGAGAGCCCTTCCCTGACCAAGCTATAGCTGTTGAATTTTGCAGCGGGGAGCAGAACCACCTTACACCTAACCCAATAGGGACTGTAGCAATTCAAACCTCATACAGAGCTGCGCCTGAACCCGGAAGATAACACAGAAGAAATAATTTCTCACTTGAGGATCCCAGTCTCTGCAATTTATATTTACAGATACGAACTGGCTGCATTAAACTTTCCTGAGAGATTCTTTGGGGTATGTTTTAAGTGTGAGCCATTATCTCCGCAAAGAAATGGATTGATTTCCTATTTTTATTGATGCAGTTTCTCCGAGAAAGGAAGAGACGGGTGCCTGGTCCTTGTGGCTGAAGCAGAAGTGTCCACGGTGCTTCTCATCGTGTCTAAGGTTTGTATGTTTGGACACATATATGTTTCACAATGTTTTAAACCTCAAAATGCGTTTCTGGAGTGATTGGTTCCAATCCAGAAATAATTATAAGCAATGTTAATTCAAGAATTGATGTTGTCTCTTTCTTAGATTCACCAACACAAAAAACAGTGGCTCAGGATTAACAGTGGCTTTCAAAGGAGCTTTGCTAAGGTGAGCAGGCCACGTACTATTAATGTGGTCATTTCCTGACCACCTCTTGAGCGGTCATTTGGGACCCCCGGAGTCCAAGTCCACAGGGCAGCTCTCCCCTTGAACTGTGCTCTTGGTTCCTCGTTGCCAGATAAACACACCTGATGTTGCCAGTTGAAACCTCACAGGTCTATTTCTCATCTCCAGAATTAGATTGGGTCTCTTTGCGGATGGGCAAATCCTTGCAGAAGGCCTCAATGAGTATCAAATAATCGAGTAATTAATATCAAGTGCCGAGGCGATTGTAAACAGGTGTTGCTAGATTGTTTCCTCCGTAATCAGATGAGAGCAAATAACATTCTTGTAAGACATGGAACTTCCCTTCTAATTTTGGCTTTTTAACATTTGTTAGAGAGCTGATATACTGTTGCTGTGTGTGGGCCTTACAACAAAAAGCTAAGGAAATCTTAATGTTGGTATTGCTGTGTCTGTCAAAACTTATGAATGGAAAGAGCTTGTAATAATTTTCCACATCTGTATCCAGGCGTTACCAAGTAGTATTTGGTAACATGCAGGCAAACACACAAGTTGTTGACTGAACGGTGCTTTTTACTTGAGCATTTTGGTGAATGAGAAGGAGCCCGCTTGAACTGTGATGATTGCTTTGGAAAAGTTAAAAAGTTGCTGTTTTCAGGGATTTTATATGATTTCTAGAAATTATTTAGAGAAAATGTCAAACCATTGTTATAGTTTTATATAATTATTTATTTATATTATTAGCATCAAATTAAGAACATTTTAGTTTATTGAAATGGTTCTAGCCTACTTTTTCCTATAAAAGAGGCAAATCCAGGTGATTTGCCAGTTTTGGTGATTGGGTTGTCTTGATGAAATGAAACTAATAATATGGTTGATTATTTTGTTAATGAGCTTTGCCAACAAATTTAAGTAAAGACAAAAATTTTACGCTAAATTAATTTAGAAGTGAGGTTTGAAACATAACTTCATAAAGTTTCTTCCATATTCCAATATGTTAAATAATTGTTTACGCATATATTTTAGTACACGCTTACGATTTTCTCTAGGATGCTGGGATTCCATTTTAAGGATCTTCCCGTATGTATAAAAATTAATGTATATCATTCTGTTTCTGAATTGTCAACTTCTTGACCTGGTTGGAATGATCAAGATAGATACCTGTTATAATCCGATCCCTACTTAGAACATAATTTTCTTTTGTATTGAATACTTAAGATAGTTTCTTGGGGGTGGAGAGAGTATAGCCCTTGTATTTCCTGGGCATATAATTAGACATTTTTTCCCCCAAATAATATTTATTATGTGGGATGCCTAACCTTCCTGAACAATTAAATGTCAAGACCACCAGCAGTCATCACATAAAAAATCCTAATCTAATCTATACATATTGTCAGTGGGACCAATTTCTGTGCTATGTTTTTCCTTTGGGAGGAAAAATGTCCTAAAATATATATATATATGGAAATTTTAAGCCCCTAAAGTCCTATGGCATGTTACATGTCTATGCATACATGTTTCACTATTTGGCCATCATGAGATTTTTAATTTAATATCTCATCTTAACCTTTAAAATTTATTGTTTCATATTTGCAATGCAAACAACTTAAAGATAGCCAGTTATTGTCTGGTTACTATTATTACTCTAAGATCCTGGCACACAGAAACAGTCAATCAATATTACCAACAAATGTTCAATTTCTGGAAGCAAACTGGGCACATTGGAGGCTATGGTAATAGAATAATTGAGACCAATTCTATATTATCATATCCAATTCCAACAAAAGTCTTTGCATAACATCAAGCTTCTGAGAATTTTTATCTGTGGGCCACTTGTTTTGAGTGGTTAGAAATTGCAAATAGAAAAAAAAATTATAATACATCAAAAGTACTTGTATTGCCTCTTTAGGTGAGCTGTTGCAGAATTTATTAATTTCATTCTGTCATGAATTAACTAGGGGGTATCCTCGGGTCACTATGGAGTCTCCACATGGTCGCCTGCTGCAAGGCGAGGCACGGGAGTCAGAGAATGAGGGGTCTGTCCCAGCTCTGCTACAAGGGGCGGTCTGGCTTTTGATGTCTCTGGACTCCAGCTTCTTGTCTGTGAGACACAGGTGCTGGCTAACAGGTGGCTAAGGCGTCTCTAGGCTGCTCAGTGTCGTCACTCCAGTGGTTTCTCAGGCTCATGCGGAAGTTCATGGAAGATGACGCCTGTTGGAATAAGGTGTGTGCTCCTTGGAGAATCTAGGGGATTCAGAGTTCCCCGTGTGAAGGAAAAATTATTGCTGCATGTTTTGACTTTGGACCTTTCGACGTTACAGTGAAACCCAAACTGGAGTTGAGAAATTATTACTGGGGTGAGGGGAGGGATCGCCATATATGTCCAACAGGCTTGCAGATGGCCAATCATTTAAAAATAGCCTTTTATGGCAATCCCTTCTTCTTAAAGGTCCTAGCCCCATGGATCTGGGGAAATGGCTGGGCAGCAAATACCCTGGCTCTGGCAGTGTGGAGACCACAATCAAGTCCTCCATAAGTCCCCCTTTAAAAAAAACAAAATGTCTGAAATGCCCATCAGATGCTATTACTCTATTGTCATTGTTGAAGTTTCAAATTCCTTCTATGGGTAACCCAGAAATATCAAGTTAGAGGAAATTTACTTAAGATATGGTGTGTGTAAACAGAGCTCGGGCAGGATTTGAATCCCAGCTCTGCCCTTTGGACAAGTTCCTAATGTCTCTGCATCTAAGCTTTCTCTTCTGTAAAAAGGGGATGATGGTACTACCTGCTGGTCTTTGTCAGGGCTGCATGAGTTAATATTTGCTTGTCTTTGCAGTGGACATTCAATGAACATTAGCTCGTATTATTCTAATTGTGGTTGCTGTTATAATATAAATCAGATAACCGTAGCATGAACAGTTCCTGTTGAATTAAAGTTGTGAAAATAATGCGTGCCTCCTATTTTTTTTTTTTTTTTGCAATCTTAATCGTTCCCAAAGCAAGTGATTCTAATATGTAAAAAAGCTTACTTAGGGAATAATCCAGTTTAGGGCCAATATCAATTAATATTATTATTCAGAAAGCAATAGAAAGTATTTTGGAATGCTGTGAAAAAGATTTGATTTGTAACATTTAAAGATAAAATGTTAATTTCCAAGTTTCTTTCAAGTTTAGAAACACATTAGTTTAGACTAAAAACCGACATGTGTCTTAACTTGATTTTTTTTTTCTTTTTCTTTAGTGAGAGAACTCAGAAAACTGTTGTGACAATTTGGCCGTGGCACTTGAAGTTCACGTTCAGGAAAATCTGAGATTCTAGTTAGAAGAATGAGGCCCTGGAAGAATTTCGTCTCCTCTGCGCCCCAGGAAATCTCTTCGTGCAGTTGGAAAGAGCTATGTTAGAATTGCTAAATCTGACCGTGGAAGGCCGACTCCATTGGGCATCAAGCTGCAAAGCAGGCTCGAAGCGGAAGGATACAAGCACGTGTTTACATCGGAGGCCTGGTGCGTGGGCTGCTCGGGAACATCAGCGCGCCCTCCTCACGCCTGGCGCTTGCTTAGCACGGTCACAGGCAGCCTTCGGCTCGCCCTGTGGACACCCTCCAAGCACAGGAAATCGTGACCTTGCTTTCTCAGCTGTTTCTCCTCCCCCCCCCCCCCCTAGAATGGCCCACTGCTTAACTTTTCATGCTTTAGTAATTCAGTAAAAGGAGAAGGCAAAAATCGAGTGTCATTGGAGCTTGAGTAGCTTTTTCTGTAAAATGACGTTGAAACAGTGCTCTTCAAGTTTCCTACAAACACGAACTTTTGCATCATTCTTTGGTTCTAAAAGATGCCGGGAAACAGGGAGCCACCTGGATATCAAACACCACTGCCGGGAGGGTACGAGGAGCATCTCTGGTGGACACCAAAGTCACAGGGTCCCTCGGGTTGATACAGTGACTGCTGCTGTTCCTCAGGGAACCTGGAAACATTACTGATGCCTAGAGAGGAATCCAAACAAGACCCTAAAGCTTCCAGAAGAAATCCCCCGAGCCTCGGAGGTAATCCTCCATCTTCACAGCGAGTGCCTACTCTCCGGAATAGAGCATCATTACGGTAGTGGGGAGGACCCCGTGCGATGTGACAGGGCAGGTCTGTACTTGAGATGACACACGTCCTTTTATTTTGCTGTGAGCAACTGTCCTGATTTAGAAAAAGGGCTTTACTGTCCTAGACACAGGAAGCTTGTTTTATCTGCATAGCTTGTTTCAGGAATGCCCCGTGTCCTGCAATACCTTCGCCACCTACATGTCCCCTCTTCCTCAGCAAGCTGGGGACAGAGGAAGACGCTCCCTACCCTCTCTCCGCAGAGCCGGTGCTGGTAACTTCTGTGGTACCAGAAAATGGGTTTCTGTTTCTCTTCAGGATACTCACAGAAGTGGGTCAGTTCAGGGATCAACAGGCCTGAGGTGCAGGGCAGTGGGCCAGAAAGGGTCTAGGGTGGGAATGAATTAAATTCAGTTTTTCATTCTAATGTCTTCCACTTGCTATGAGCGCAGCTTCCTGGCCGTGTTACACTGGGCAGCTGCCCGGTCCCTCGGCCTCATCTTCAGCACTTGTCAGCGGAACTCTGTAGACGTGTGGGAGCATCTCCCTTCTTCTAAGCAGAAGCTCTGTGTAACTCTTCCCAGGAAGTGAAGCTGTTCATTGGCCAGCTCGCTATTGGTACCCCAGGATGTCAATGATACCCACACCCGTCGTGTGGGGTTCACAGTTACATGTTTGAAGACTCCTCCTGGGATTTTTCAGAGATCTTGACAAATCTTGGCTTAAGCCAGGAATTCTCGGGTGCCCCCTCTCAGAGATAACAGCAAAGGTATGGATATCAGCTCACACTTAAAAAGTGGCTTGACATTCTAAGTTCACCTGGGAAAAAATTAATACATGAAAAAAGTCAATTTGCTCAAGGTGGGCAGTTGTTGTCAATAATAACGGCTAAACCTCTGAGATTTTTTGAGGGAGGTGGGGGATACTTCCCCCTCCTTCATTGAAATATTTGATTTATTCTTCAAGATTAAGGAAGCAGCTATGTCCTAATGTTCATTCAATTTTAGGATAACCACAAAGGTTTCATGGATGTGAGATGCTAGTTACACAGATATGAAATGAATCTGAGATGAGAATACGGGGTACATGGCAGAACAGAGTCCCAGAGGCGTTTCGCCTGGGACCTTAGCTTTCTGTCTAGAACATCAGCAAACAGTTCAAAATTAATGCTGCTCATGCAGTTTGTCATAGAGCCACCCTGGCCTGATCATTTCCCCCTCATTATATAAAACCTAATTAGTTAAAGGGCAATTCAAATGAAACTTTTATTTGAGGGATTTAGAAGTATTAAGCAAAGGGAAAAAATAAACACGGCAGCTCTCTGGGTAGCGTGAGCACGATTACTAATAACCCTTGGGTGGGGAAATAAGCAACCTTGTTATTTTCCTCACGACCCAGGTTCCTGCAGTAAATCGGCACTGAACAGAAATATTTGGATGCTGTATGGAGAACAACTTTTACAAGGTCTCCAACTGGCACCCGATGTTTTCGAGTATGAAAGCATCCCAACAGGCTGAGGGATCCCTGCAGGCAACACGTCCCTTGGTTAACAGGCCTGCCAATGAAATCCAATTAGAGATGACTTTTTATCTCTGTGATGAAGGCAACACTCCTTGCATGAACTCTCGTTTCAAGCTGAGGAAGCTGGAGAGAAGGGGATGGCCAAACACCTCCGCCCATTTCCACGCTTTACATGCCACGGTGTCATCATCTGAAAATAATTTAAGGAAATAATGTATACTCGGGTTCAAAAATGTTTACATCTTGCTTCTTTGGTTACTTTTTAAAGAAATAGTGTTTTGAAATGATGTTTACTAACGTCATCTTTCATTTCAATGAATGGTCGACCTCTAACCTCAGACTCCTCTCATCTGCTTTTTAAAGTGATAATCACCCACACAAACCTATTTGCACATTAGGCCAATTCTTTTTGTTCGAATGTACTTTATAATATACTGTTTAACATAATGAGAGAAATCACTTGCTTTACAGGATGAAGGATCAGATAATGTATTTTAGGAGGTAATAATTAGTTTAGCACTTTAACAAAGACACCCACACCAAACCAACTATTAATTTGGATCTTCAGCATCAACAAATGTTCACCTGGATAAAATGGTGAATGTTTACATATAACTGCATGACACATTTTATAAAAAGCAAAAAAGGAACCTGAATGAATTACTACCACATCAGGGGAACAGAGATACATGCCTGAAACACTACAGGCCTATTCTGGGATTCACTAATTGCTGACAACACCACCAGTGTTTCTGCAGCCATGACCAAAGCCACCGAAATGACTGAGATTTAAATCAAGTACCTTTGGGATGACTGGAAAACCTGTTTCCCAATAGAGAGACAACAGCAGGTACACATGACCTGAGTGGGAAATTTGTCTCAAAAACTTTCAGCAGATGATAGGAAAGGATGAGCACTCTGTCCATGCATTTGAACCTGACTTGATACAGACGCTGACAGTTCGAGATCCATACTGAAATCTATTAGGGCCCCAAATCTTTAGTCATTGTATGTATGTGAACTTATAGTTACATACATCAATAATGTACATCAATAATAGACATCATTCATTTTCCTTGCAATGGGCTTTGTGATGGGTCTCCTGAGTGTTACATTTCTTGTAATGGTATCTTTCCATTTACTTGGTGGAATTACGTTCACTGATTCCTTCTGTGGGATAAAGTGATCGGCCCTGGCCAAGGTCTGTACCTTGGAAACCCCCTTCCTGTGCCCTCTAGAATGGGCAGTGAGTCATCTATGCATGAATTCTTGCCCTTTGGAGAGGAGAGTAATCCACCAGAGCAACTCACGAGCCCACAGAGGAGGAATGCGAGAATGCCCTTAAAGCAGCCTAGAGATACAATCGTGTGTGATGGTTTCATCGCAAGTCTCTTGACCTTAAAGCTGGGTAATAGGCACATGCTGGTCCTGTGTGATGTTGGGTGACCCCAGGAAGCTCTTAATCCTGTTCACTGGAGAAATGTGAGGAGACCCATGCACTCCAAGCGAAACAGTGAGGAGCAGTGAAGCAGGGTACAGCTATCACTTCACCTGTCGGAGGGTTTCGGTTAGGATGGGGGAGCTACATTTCCCTAGGTTTCTGACGATGTAGGTTACTATGTTTTCCAAAGGCACAATGCAGCATCCTTGCAGGTCACCAGTGATTTCACAATAAGATAAAGCACAACAAAACTGGAATTTCCTGGTTCAGTGTGTAAAAGGTCAACATCTGCTGATGCTCAGAGATGAGGCATGAGGTGGAGGCGGCTGGATGAGATGTCGAGGGAGCAGTACAGTCAGATATCCATGCAGCACACGCCCGACACGCCCGACACAGAGACACACCAGGCGCCAGAGAGCTACTTTCCACCCATCCATTTCTGAAACCAGACAAGCCGACGGGCACAGCGGCCTCCATCCTCGGTCTCAGCTTGCTTCCGGCGGGTTCCCTGTCACTCTAAAATGCATGTGCAAATGCAACTGTCAAGGCCTGAAAGGAGCAGTTGTGGGGTGTGTCTACAGTTTAGCCAATGGCAAGGGAGACACCAAGGCAGAAAAGTCAGGCTCTGAGGGCTGGAGGTTTTCATTTGCAAGTTTGTAGCACTGTTGCTTTCTCAGCAAGACCACAGGCAGGGTGCTGCGATGCGGGCTGGTCTCCCCATGCGGGCTGGTCTCCCCGTGGGTGAGAACACTGCTTCTGTTTACAGAGCCGCTGATTCTCATGGCATTGAACACATCTAGTGCTTAACAAATCTGTGCCCGGGCCCATTCACAAGCTGAAGTAATAAACTGGGTTGATCGGAAAACCTGATGTGCACTTATAAGAATCGGGAAGTTGTTTTATCTAAATGACCAGAGTATGGCTTTCTACTTGGATACCGGGGTGGTCATGCTTCAGCTATCACCCTGCAATCACCCGAGTGGCACAGTCCGGAGGACAAGCCGGTGAGGGGCGAGACCCCCGTGGAAATTCCTTTGTTCCCTTACAGTGCACGATCCCGGCTCCCTCGGAGCATTCCTGCCAATCAGTCACCTGGCACCACACAGCGGCTGTAGCCATCAGAAAGGTGCAATGTATAAAAATAGGTGAGATTCTGCTCTGAAAAGTTCTGGGGCATTTCCTTAATGAGCTTCTCACACTAAGGTCGGGGTGTCATTGTTTTATATGCAAAGAGGAAAAACATTCTTTGCAATGGTCTGGCCCAGCGTTCCACAGGAATAGAAGCTTCTATTTCTATGAAAAGATTTCTCACAGAAATTTCTAGTAGCCTGACTCCTTAATTCTGCCTGTATTTTTTTATACCTCTTCTCCAGCAAACTTAAACTGACGTAATTAGAAAAACAGGGATCGCTGTATTTTAGGAGGGAGAAACAGACAGACCATTCATGCTCCAGAAAGACTAATGCTCACAAACCTGCGTTTTCAGGCCTTCACAATGACTGAAGGTGATGCATCAATCAAGTTCCCTCCCTGTGTTTGCGTGGTATTGTCCTTGGATCTAATGAATACGCCTGAAGCATTTACTGGGTCCGTTCTCTGCTTTTCTAAATTATTGTGGAAATCCATACCTAGTTCTAGGGAGAGAGTTCAGTTTGTTGGTTGGTTGCTAAGTATGGGTAAATAGGCCTGTTTGTATTATTGGTAAATGAGCTAAGTAATTGCACCTCTGTGAAGGTAGCTTTTCTCGATCAAAGGTGGTCAGGACAGCGGTGGGTCCGCCTCATACACAGAGGATACAACCTCTCACCATCTGTGCCGAGAATACAACAATCCAACCCACCAACAAAATACTCATATCAGAAATGGATATGGGGAAAATAGATCCGAGGAGCTAAACAACAAAGCAAAGCTAGCCTAGACTGGGTTTGGTGATTTTTTTTGTTACTTACTACCAATACTGGAAATACTGGGGATACCTAGAGAAAAAGAAAAAAAATAAAGAAAAGCTGTTAGACATTTATTAGTACATGATGTTTTAACTCAATATAAAAATCTCAGGAACGTAAGTAACACTTGGTAACATTTAGATCAGCACAGAGAAAACAACATACATATGTATCCATTGAAACCTTTTTGCTTTCACTATAGAATTCCAGAACCCATCATAGTCAGGAAATTAATGCTCAACTTCAACAGCTGGCTTAAGACAGCTTCACATCAAACGTTTTGTGTTTGCCGATAAGGTTGATGAACATTTGAGTGTGGGTCAACACAGATATTAAACTAGACTTATGCTCTGGGCACAGAGTACCAAACAGACACAACGTGGATTCACACAATGCAATATATCTCTTTGAACGTGTTATGATGGCGTGTGTTAGCTGATGAAAGTCACCTGGCCTGTTATTTGATTAATTTCGCATAACCATCATTTTTATTCCTCCTTTACTTGTCAGATATGTGGATTAAACTCCGTAATAGAAACTTAATTGAGCAGAATAATTCAAGAATACATTAGGTTGTTCATATTGAGGATAGACTTCATCGATTTTTCAGTTTCCACTTAATTTCCACATTGTGCAAAGGTAGTAGAACCATTTCAGAATGTGTGGGACTTGGTACAGCTGCGGGCAGGGATTTAGTGTGTATCCAGATGGAAACTCCTGGCCAGCAGCGAGGCACCAGGCTGTCTGGGTTGGAGTTTTGCTCTAGCCCTCACTGCCTGTGTGATCTCAGGGCAAGTTGCTAACCTCTAGGGGCTCTGTTTCCGGCCTCTTAGTGTTGTTGCAAAGATTACAGAAATTGACATATGTAAACCACTCAAAACATGGCTTGGCAGGTGGTATGTGCTATATCCATCTTCGCTATGATGACTGTTCTTGATGTAGTTGGTTCATCAAGCAAGCAACCCATGATAGATATTGCTAATAAACAGTCAGAGATTTCCATCTTCTCCACTAAATTTGGGTTGCAAGCATGAGATGGAAGTCAGACTGAACTGAGGGACAGTCCTGCTGTGCAGCTGACCCGCGGGGTGACTGGGGACAAGCTCCCTGCTCTCCACACCCATTTCCTCACCTGGAAAAGGGCTAATAATACCTCCCGCAAAGGCTGGCTGCGAGGATTGAATGAGATAATCCATAAAAATGTCTGACACATGCTACACAGTCAATAAATGATAGCTGTTAATGAGCTGTTCAGATGTGTTCGTTACATCGTGACGTGTACAAACAGGTGGTCGCTGTAGGAATCATTAAACTTCTATTTTCATATTTCATTTTAAATAACTGTCCTATGCTTATTTTAACTGATCTATGTACCTTATTCAGAGATTTCTAGCTTTGTTTTCTTTAAAACCAAGAGTCATTTTCCTATTTCTGAAGAAGGAGGGGAGGAGAAATGAAAGCTTACAATGATTAAAAAGAAAGAAACTTGGAAGGAATGAAATCCTATTTTCAGTTATTAGATACATTCAAAATCTCTCCATTTTCAATGCACAGGGTTTATGATGCTTCAGCTCAGTTACGATCACTGAGCAACCCAAACGGGAGGCCTGAATTTCCATGTGCACGTTTTGACTCCGTCCTGTGAACGGAAGCTCCAGCCGAACACGCTGCCTACAAAGGACGGCTGTATTCCTGACCCGGCCCTCCAGTCGGCTACCTCTGCCGCAGCCCAGCGGTGGCTTGGTACGTAATCTTTTTTTTTTTTTTTTTGCTTTTGCAAATCCCTTGTTGAGTGAGGAATGATGGCAGCATCATAATTTCAGTATCAATGGCAGGAGGCTCCGAATTCCCCCATGGCTGAAAACCCTGCTCCACGGCGAGAAACTGCCTGCCTTTTGTAATCCGTCAAAGAGAATGGAAGTCAGGATGGCAGGAAGAGACTTTTCATGTGTTTGTAAACTCACAGGGAGCTAGAGGGCCATGCATAATGCAAAGGGAAGTTCTCAGTTCTCAGGGTGCTTGGACCCCTTCCCCCAGCCATGGGGAGCCACCCCCCAAGACTGATGAAGTCCTGCTTCAGAAACATGCAGAAATGTTCCCGCTGCTTTGGGGAGGCCGGAGCAGCTAGACAACCCTGGGTACGCAAGGCCATCAGGAGCTCCTGTTTCCTTCCGAAGCTGCTTCCTATCACCTAACAGTTGGATGCTTAAAATTCAGGCTCGTCCTCATTTTGCAGCTGGCAATTTTTTGAGATGCCACCAGGTGATCCACTTTCTACTCCGCTGGTGTCAGATGGGAACAGCTTCGAGAAGATTTTTTCAAACTGCTCGTTGGAATAGAGATTTTTTGAAGTCGAGAATAGCTGAACGCCAAGGGATGTCCACTGGTATGGTTTCAGATGTTATATTTTTTTCCCCCTAATGTTTCTTATTTAATGTTCAAACTCCTGGATTTTGGTTCCCTACAGACAATTAAATAATTTAATAAACACCTTACATCCATTAAAAAAACTACGGGTAAGTCACAAGAAGTCTTTCAAAGGCTTAAGGAAAAAGATAGGATGGCTACAACCCATTCCCCGAACGTGGGTTTCCTTGGGGTGAGGGATGATCAGTGAACAGACCCCATCACAGTGACAGTGCCCATGGGCCACGGAATAAGCCTCAGAAACACTGTTCAGACCTGAGTTGGCACTTTTTTGTTTTTGTAACATCCCCTGTGAAGAGACAACTATTATGTAAAGAATATTATCTTGAAAGCTGAACTTAGAAGAATTTCTTCCCTTCCTGCTTCAGCTCCCTGCTGAGAGTGAGCCAGCTCCCCGTCCACCCTCCACGGGCACCTCAGCCATTTACTTTATGACTCTGAGGGGCTCAGCGCGGGGCTGGCTCCTCTGTGTCTCCAGTATCTTCCTGGGACAATGCCTGACAAAGAAGTATCGCTTGTTTCCAAGAACATTCTATCATAGTGAAAATAACATTTTGGTCATGAAATGATCTTGTCCCCTCCACAATGTTTCACTGAGAGGGCAGTATTACTGAATGTTTTTGTTCTCTTTGAGCATTTTCTCCATTCTGATAGCAAGAGTTAGACCACGTCTGGATGCTCTCACACCTTGCTTCCAAGAAACTCCGGCTCAACTCGGTGCTCAACTGGGCAGAACTCCTCCAGCGGCTGGCTTGTGTTCCTTCTATCCTTTTTCTCACATCTTCCTTGTAAGTTCCCATTTGCATACCCTTACTTTTATGTTTTCCTAAGCTGCCCAGGGCCAAATCCAGACCTTGTGGGGCCTAAAGCTTATACACATGTGGGAGCTCTCTTTGAGAAAAAGAACATTACGTTTAAAAGATAAAATGAGATAAACTTGAGATTATTACTTTTTTTATTTAGAAGGAATCTAATGAAGGATTCTGAAATTTAAGCTTCGTTAGCTTAAATCTATCCCTGAAACAACCTCAAACATACATGGGAAAGATAAATAAAGGATAGGTGGACAGGAAGGAAGGAGGAAAAGGAATTCAGCAAGAGTGAAAAAACACGAGAGCAGGAAGGCAGTTAAGAAATGATCGTACTCAGCATTTCATTCTGCAGAAGAGGAAATCGCAGGCACCGAGAAGCGAGGGTCTAGTCAAGTCGACCCTCTGTGTGCACCACGGGGCACGTCACTCTGAGTGCCTGCTTCCTTGACCTGCTCAACTTGCACCGGAAACGAAACACAGTTATGCCTGAGCTTTAAGGAGAGGCTCTGTCGTGGTCTATGAGGCTAGTACTATTGCTGCTTCTGGAATAGAAATGTGACTTCCGTCCGAGATCCAAGCGCATGCCGCCTAGGGTTCCACATGCCAAAAGGAGAGGGTGCCCAGTTGTAGGCACTTGAAGTTATTCCCTCCTCAACCAGCCTCCATGCACCCATATAAACACAACTGATTTTATTTTCATATAAGAACTCAACTGTTTTTCCAACAAGGAAGAGAATGTTTGTTTTAAAGGAATTCTGTGGCATTTTGGAGGATGAGAACCTAGTAGAATTATATAATGTGTTCTTTTCTTTTTTGTTTTCAATTGTACTAACCCTCCCACCAAGTAAATGGCTAAAAGGCATGTAGCTGGGCTTAAAGAAGTCAAGGAATGGAGGTCTAAAAGTCAACACCCTGGTCTTCTGAAGCAGGTTCACTCAGGGCTGGTGGCCATGGCTTCTTTGGAGAATCGATGGGAACAAGGGAGAGGGATGGGAAGGGGCAGAGCCCTTGCATGCTTCGAACTGTGGGGAAATATTACCACTGTTAGGATGGATGGTTTGGGAAAAGCCCACGAATAAGTGACTAGATCTTCCAGCCTGGCTGTGGCCACCAGGATCTCTAACTCCAAAAGGCCCAGCCAAAGACGACGTAGGTGATGAGGAAGAAAAGGAATGCATTCTGGTGCCATTACTTCCAACATCGTTCCAGCCCTGGTCCTGGTCCTGGTCCAAACGGCTGCGGGCGGGACGCACAGTGAGTTGTCTCCCAGGAACTTAGAGGGAAGGAGAGACGATCACCTTCACAGAACTACCGTGACATCACCATGTGAGCGATCTGATCAAGATGACGAAAACCAACTAATTACAGAAGAAGGGCTCTGGGGCCTGAGGGTACATGACAAGCATAGCAGAGGTGACATTAGCAGACTGACTGACATCCTGAGGCACGTGTGGCAGGGTGGCCTAGCGGCATCTCAGGCAGAGGGACGGCAGCCTGTGAACGGGACCTTCACTGTTCCACTGACGTGCGTCACGGAGGCTGGCCCTGTGCTCGGACGCCCTGCTGTTATTAGCACTCAAGTCACTGAAGTTCCCTGATCCTGTGCCGACCAAGCAACCTTCTGGTGATTACCTGGCTCTGCAAGGAGACTTAACCACAGGGCAGAGAACACACTGGGCATGAGGACGTGGATATTCTGAACACGGGAACAGTTATTTCATATTGTGATGAGTGAACTGGCACAATCTATCTCCCCATATGGCTGCTGTCTCCAAAGGGAGACTGTGCTGA